AGCAGGAAGGTAACTGGAGCAGGGGGGGGGAGGAGCCTGCCAGGCAGTACCCCACCTTCTCCAGCAGCCCTCCTTCCTCCCCAGCTACTTCAGCATATACACGTAACAGCAGAACACCAAGAAGCGCATTCGATGATAATTTGCTTAATAAATAAATAACACTTATTCTCCCCCCACAGAATACTCAGAAATGAACTTCTGAGGAGAGAATCATTTAGCATGTACTGAGTTGGACACCTTCACTGACTGAGACAGGTATTCCCTGCTTTCCTCCCCAGTGGAAACCCAAAGCAGCTGACGATGACATTCTCCCCTCATCCATTCTGTCCTCAAAACAACCAACCTGTGAGGCAGACCAGGCTGCAATGGTTTCTACATGGGCACAGGCTTGTGTGGTTTTCTTGCTGCGGCGGCAGCAGCCGCAGCCAATATAGTGCAGTGACGACCAGTGTTCCCGCTAAGCTGAGTTAGTGTGAGCCAGCTCACAGTTTTTAGCCTCTGGCTCACACCTTTTTGTCTCAGCTCAGGAAGGATGGGGCTCCAGAGCAAACTAGTTTATGCAGGAGCTGAATCGCTTGCTCACAACTTTAATGCCAGGAGCTCACAAAGTAGAATTTCTGCTAACGAGACTCCACAGCTTAGAGGGAGCCTTGGTGACGACACAGTTTCCACAGGGCAGGTGTCCCCACAGTTTCCCTGCCCATGTCCCTTGGCAGAGGCCAACCCTCTGCCTCAGACCACTGGGACTTCTTCCGTTTTTTGCTGTAATGGTCTTCAATTGCAGATTTTTTTAAAAAAAATGTTTCCCCGTGGTATGGTGAGGAAATGGCCGAGACAGGGGAAACGGCTGTCGTAGGCATGAGAATATCCAAACTTTCCCGCTCATGCAGCAGCCATCCAGGCTTTCCTTTCATCTTCTCCCAAAACATAACGGCAGAACAGGTTTGAGAAAGATCAGAGAAAAGTTATGGAAACCCTGCAAGGTGAATGAATGCACCACTAGGCTGTGGGGAAACGGGGGGGGGGGAGGACCCCTCCTCAACAACCTTGAACCCAGGTGGAAATGGCCTGACAAAGACAGTGGGGTCAAGTCCTTCCTGCCTCTGGACGCCCAACATGTTCCTGGTGTGCATCATAACACTCCTTGGTCAATGGCAGGAAAGACAGGAAAGGGACGCCCCCCCCCCCAATACTCTGATGCATGTAAAAGACAGCCTCCCCAATGTAATTTGTTTTAATTAGGGTTCTTCTGGTCACAACATTAAAATGTTCCAGTGCCTCTTCCTCAGTGCGCATGAACGCATGCTGCTGTGTTGTACCCAGCCAGCCCACTGTTTCATCCGGCCCAGTATCGTCCTCTCTGACTGGCCACAGCTCCCCCAAGAACTCAGGCAGAGGGCCTCCTCCAGTGACAAAACCCAACAGCCTTTTAACTTGAGGAGGGCTAAGGATGAGCAGTGAACGTCCTGCAGGCCAAACACTGAATTATTGACATGCTCACTCAGAACATGCACATCATATTGGAGACCTATCTACGTCTTCTGGGAGGGCAAGTAAACAGCTGCGTCTGAGCTGATCTCGTGAACACATTCAACTGGTGCAGCTTTCCCTTCACGAAGATTCACTGGTAGAAGAGGCTGCATCTCTTTTGGCCTATCAGACAGCTGTTAACAGCCAGAAAGCCAATGGCAATTAAGCTCCAAAGAATGGTGATCCCACAAAGAGCTCGGCCAGAGAAAAGGAGTCCCTGGAACCCTGGCTGGCTCTGGCCACCACATCGCTCTCTCTCTCTCTCACACACTCCCCTTCCTTTTTGCTCACCTGCACCATTGCTCATGCAGCGCTTCACCAGAGCCCGCCAAAGAGCTGCCAGGACTGAAACACCGTGGACAGTGAGCACCTCCTCTACAGCACGGGTGCCACAGTTCCAAGAGTGCACTCCTGCAGATGCAGTGCCCACAGTCCATGTGGGACACAGGGACAAGGACAAGGCCTCTGGACCTTTAAGGGTTTCCCACGGATAGGCGACTGAAGGCCCAGGGCCTCAATCCAGCCCAAAGGAGCTTTCTCTATAGGCCTTCAGCCCCAAGGACTTATTACCCCATTCTCAGAGTTGCTGAGCAGGGGCCAAGTAATGGGAGATACACCTGGGGAATTTTGGCCTCTCTCAGAGCACTAAAGAAATCGAGGCCCCTTCCAGAGTATGGCAGTCCCAGGAGCTTGGGACCAAGGCTCCCTCCAAGCTGTGGAATCTTGTGAGCAAAAATTCTACTTGGTGAGCTACCGGCATTAAAGTTGTGAGCAAGTGATTTGGCTGCAGCATAAATTAGTTCGCTCTGGAGCCCTCCTTCCTGAGCTCAGACAAAAAGGTGTGAACTGAAGACTAAAAAACTGTGAGCTAGCTCACACTAACTCAGCTTAGGAGGAACACTGCTTGGGACGAATGTCCCTGCTGGCCAACAAAAATGAAGAACAGGCCGCAATTCTTCTTTTCAACAATGCTGGCACCAAGAGCTTATGACCCCCCCCCCCGCCACCGGCTGCATGCCAGCCCCTCTTCAGTTAATCCCTTCCTGTCCTTTGAAATTGTACATACCTCCTGAGCAGCCCCTGCGATCACGATGCCCCGGGGATGGCTCAGCGCTGGTTAAGACCCCGTGGAAAGCTGGCATGCTTTGGTGCTTGCTAGGCCCCAGCAGATCCTCCGCACTGGGCACCTCCCTCTCCAGCGTCCGGGCTTTGCGGGGCACCTTGGTGACAGGCGGGGGACCCCTAACTGGGAAGGAACCAGACGGCTGAGGGCCGAGCCGGGGTCTCAACTTAGGCACGCTCTTGCACGGCATCCCGCTGCAGTAATCTGGTGGCGGGAAGGTGCCAATGCCGCTGTCCAGGGTCCGCGTCAAAGAGCTACATACTGTGGACACAAGGAGGGGGCGATAATAAGACCGGAGTCCCGGAGAGAGTCCCCTCTCCCCCCAGCCGCTGCTCAAGTGACAACACAGACACACTTCCCAGAGTGAGAAGGCTCCTCTGGGAATCTGGGCCCCGACCTCCACCTCCGAGCCCTTTGTCCGGGGAAAAGGCAGGAAACCCAGCCCCCCGGGGCCCTCCCCATCTTCGCCGCCTTGAGCTGCAAGCCTAGCCCTGGCAGCCCGTCCCCTCCCGGCACCCGTTTAATGACGCTGCGCCCAGAGCCTGGAATAAAATCCAGGAGCCCCATCTCCCCCTCTGCACGTATCAATAAGTAATGCCCATTTAATGAAGCCTCCAGTGCTTCCTCTCTTCTCCACAGACACTTAATATTTAATCTTACATTGCTCCATAAATCCAAGTCCAAAGATATACACGTTACACATTACACATGAATGTAACACACAGCTAAATTAAACCCCCATTCTGTAAGGATGGAACCAGTCCTCTTTCCTACGTTCTCATGAAAAGGGCAGGCCCACCACACCTCCCCCGGAGGTTCCCGTGCAGCACGGACTCGTTGGCCTCTCGCCACGAGGACCCAGCGCTTCGGTGTGTGGAACGTGGGCCCTCTGTCTCGCAATGAATTGTGAGGACGTCCTCAGCAGGACTCCTCGGGACTCGAGCCTCAGAGGTGGGGGCAGAGTTACCAGCAACAGGGCACAAACGGCAGAAAAATAAGGCAGATCACTGGCCTGTTCCTCACAGTGCTTTCAACAAGTGCCTTTCAGGCACGCCCGACTCCAGTTACAAATGCAGAGAAGGATGAGACGGTTTAATCCTTCCAACCTTGCATGTTTTTGCCTATCGAGCCCACAGCACACGAAATCCTATTAGTCTTGGAAGGGAAAAGGGATGGGCAAGACCTGGTTTTTTCTCTCCAAGCCTTACAGAGCAATGTGAGTGGAGTTGTTGTTTCAAAAGGCAAAATGGGAAGAATCCCATCCTCTCTGGGGAAATGTCTCCTCACATTGCCCTCCTCCAAATTGGGGGATCACATGGCTGAAATGTAGATTTTTAAAGATTTTGTCTAGAATGATCCTTAGATGCCTACAGGGGTGCATTCTTTCGTATGAGCACCGCACTGGTTTCCTAGACTTAAGTGGTGATCACAGTCCCCACTTTGGAAAACAATTCAGTTGAACGTGACCCGGAGCTACTCTAAGTCAATCTTTTCATCAAGCTCGGCTCTTCTGAGAAAAGGGACCACCTTCCAGCATCTGCTCCTTCAGATGCCCTCTTTCCCCCCTCCTCAATTAACTCGCCTGCGAAGTGCTGAGAAGTCACCGAATCAGCTAGGCTGTCGTCAGACGGCATCTCCTCTCGCAAAGTCGCATCCTGAAGCTGCAGAGGAAAAGACAGGAGACGGATAGAAGACCAGCACGTGTGTGGGATCTGGCATGCCACTATCTGTGAAGAACACTGACTCACCTTTGGAGGGGCCTCCGGACAGGCATGGAGGTGCCCGATGATGCCATTGCGTGGAGGTCGGATGAGCCGGGGGTCTTTGGCATCATGCAAGCCCCTCTGCAGGCCCTGCAGCTCACTCTTCTGCTCCAGGTGACCCTCAAACGGAGCCTCTTTCCCATCCACCCTACGGCACAGTCACAAGGGACACAATCAGTCTCATTCCTCCTCTCTGGAATCTTGTTCTCAGCTCCAGCAGGTGGGAAATAATGACCCTCTGCTACTAGGAGACAGACCCAACCTGGACTGCATGCAGATTACAGAGCTGAAAAGACCCAGCTCCCTGCCAGGAATCCTTCAGACTCTGCCCGCTTGCCTTGTTAAAGTCTTGTCAATGAGACTTGCTATAGTTTCCATTCCTCCTGCTCCAGCTCCCTCTTTGGGATCTCTTGAACAAACCTCTTGAGCAAGTGGGTGGACTTACACAGGTGTACACTAGAGACGTTTACAGGACAGGAGCACTAAGGCACCACGCATTTGAGATTATGAACAAAAACAGCCTTGCTGGATCAGACCAGGGGTCCACCCGGTCTAGCATCTTGTCCCACACAGAGTAACTGGTTGGCCAACAACCTGGCATAGAAGCTGAGGCCTTCCCTGATGTTGCATCCTAGCACTGATACCAGATGTGCCCTGCCGCTGAAAGCGGAAGTTCCTTATACTCACCCTGGCAAGCAGTCGTGATGAATTTGTCTCCACGAGTTTGTCTAATCCCCTTTTAAAGCCATCAGTTCTTGCAACCATCACTACCTCCCCTGGCAATGAATTCCACATTACGTGTAATTACCCCAACCCTGTTTCCTGACCTGCAGCCCATGTATTTCAGCTCTATCACTTACCTGTTGAGCAGCTGCTGCATGAAGTTCTCCGCAGTCACTTCCTGGTACATGAGGGTGAGTTGGCTGTGGCCCGCATCACAGGTGTGGGGGCGTGGTTTGTCCAAGGCCAGCCCATTGATATAGGCCTTCTCCTCTTCCAGGGCCTTGCGCAGGTCCTCCGCCTTCTCCATGAGTTTGGAAATGTTAAGGCTCTCTGCCTCCAGCCGGCGAGAGACCAGCTTGCCCTCCTTGGCTTTGGGGGGCTCTGGCCTCCGGCTGAGGGCGGGCAGTTTGCTCTTCCGCAGGCCAAACCAGCTAGCGAGGCCGCTCGAGTTCTTCTGCTTTGCCTCACCAGCCACGGGCCCTCCTTTGTGGCGCCGCAGGACATTTTCTTCGATGCCCTTCATCACCTTTTCTTCAATGCTGGCCGGGAGTCCGGGTTTGCCCTTGGCAGGGTCCGGGCAAGGGGGGTTCTTGCGGCCCACACTGGTGGCGGGAGGCTTGGCAGGTGGCAGGCATGGCTTGGGCTCCTGCCCAGGGGCCTTGGTAGGAGATTTGGAAGGTAACTTAGTAGGACTCCCGTGAGGGCTCTTGACATTCTTTCCTGGGGCCGGGGCCTTGGCAGAGTTCCTCGTGGCCGGCATCCCCAGCTGACGGTTCTTGGAGCTGTGGTGCTCGGGGTCATTCCCCCGGGAGCCCACAGAGTGTGAAGAGTAGCACCGAGGGGTGGGCTCCGCACCGTGGCAAGGCTCGTGGTGCTTGAGGCTGCTGCTCCCAGTGCCCAGCCTAGGGTGGGCTTCAGCAAAGCTCTCCGAACGCTCACAGGGCCGGGCCGGGGCCCTCCCCTTCTCGGAGTTTGCTTGCTCCTTTCCCTCGGGGCCCTTCAGCCTCCCGAGCACAGTGAGGCGCTCCTTGAAGGGCAGGTTGGCCACCTCAGGCACCCGCTTGCTTGGCCCGTTTGCAGCCTTCTTGGAGCCGTCTGTGTTTCGGCGAGCAAGAGGCGGGGAGTTCCGGCCCTCTGCCCCCGCCCTCTCCCGCCCACCGGCAAACAGGCCAGGCTCCGGAGAACCGTCACTGGGGGGCACTGTCCGGAGAGGTGCTGAGCGGCAGGCGGGCGGATGTGCTTCAGACACGTCTGGCTTGGCCTCTCGCGGTGGGTGAGAATGAGAGCCCATGGCACTGCTGAGGGACAGCTCCAGGATGTTCTCATACTCGTGGGGCTTGTGGTAGCCAAAAGGGTCTGGGGAGGTTGGCGTGACTTTGGGTGGCACAGGGACAAGGTGCCGACCAGCCTTGGGGGAGGGGTGCCCCGCAGCAAAACCAGGGTCAGTGGGGAAGGGGCTGTCGGGGGAACCCTTTCGGCTGGGTGCGGGAGAATGGTACACCTCGTATGTATTGCTACGACACGGGATTTTGGAACTGCGAGTAAGCTGGGGGCTGAGGCGCAGGGCGGCAGGGCTGGGCGGCGGTGGCATTTTCAGTAATTTGAGCACCTTGGAGGGTGAGGGGATGGGGGGGCCCTGCCAGGACTTGTTCTTGCCCTCGCTCGGTGCCAAGACACCGAGGCAGGCCGGCTCCCTGCAGGCAGAGGGGGGCCCTAAGGCTTCTAGGCAGCTGACAGCCTGGATGTGCTTGTAGCTGCTGACCTGGCCCCCAGAGCCTTCCATCAGGCAGGGCCCACCGGGCTCCCCGTTGAGCAGGGCATTCTCTCCCGCCTCCCGGAGGACGTGCTGCAGGTAAGTCTCCACATCCCCCAGGTCCAGCTTGTGCTCAGTGAGAGTGCTGAGCAGCACTTGCCCAGAACGCCCTTTCTCCGGCGGATCCGATTCGCCAGCCTCATCCGACGAGGAGGAGGAGCTGCCCTCTCCTTTGGAGGGAAGCTGCCCGGGCCCACTCTCCCCCTGCCCCAGCAGCAGGCACGGCCAGGCCTCGGCAGTCACGCCTTCCGGGGAGACAGGCTGCCCGGGGTCCCTCCAGGGCGCAGGAAAGGAAAGCAGGGGGTCCATCTCTTCCAGGGAGCGAAGCACCTCCAGGATCTGGGCCTTCTTCCGCAGGAAGGGGGACAGAGCCTCCAAGGCCTGGGAGTTGGGCCCTGGGGTGCCCACACACGGCTCCTCAGAGATGGCCTGGGGCGGATCAGAGGACACAGAGGGAGGGAGGGAGGGAGAAGAAGAAGAAGAGATTGGATTTATACTCCATCCTTCACTTGGAGTCTCAGAGTGGCTTACAAACTCCTTTCCCTTCCCCTCCCCACAACAGACACCCTGTGAGGGGGGTGGGGCTGAGAGAGCTCTGACAGAAACTGCTCTTTTTCAAGGACAGCTGTGCCAGAGCTTGTGACTGACCCAAGGTCACATCAGCAGGTGCGAGGAGTGGGGAATCAAACCCGGTTCTCCCAGATTAGAGTCCGCGCACTTAACCACTACACCAAACTGGAGGGAGGGAGAGATGCAAGAAGTGTAAGATCCAGATCCCAATTCCCATCTCAGCATTTTCTGTGTGAAAGCTATCTCTCTCTGCCCCAAACTCCACAGCAGCTAAGGAGGCATCCCACCAGTACTGCCGCTACTACATTCGTTTGCCACACATCCAGCAACGTTCAAAGGGCATGCAAGGTGGGCACAGCTGAGGGTGGGTGGAGCTTCCCCTTTCCAGCCTTGTTTTAATTGCACCCCCACCCCCACTACAGACCCCATGCTGCCAGCTCTCAAGGCCAGATCTCGGCCACCTGCCCGGCCCTGGTTTTCGGTGCTAAACCAGGCCATAGATTCCCATGCCCTCCCCCTTCCACTTGCTAGGAGGACCAACTCCTTGCCTGTCACGAGTACTTTTGGAATATCTCTGATGCCGTTGGCTGCCCGTCTCTCCTGGATGTTTGCTTCTGCCACAAAGCACCCTCCCCAAATTCCTTTTTGGCCCAGGTTCCCACCTCCTTTTGAAACCTGAGCCATGTCCAAATAGCCCGTGAGTCTGTGGGAGTTGTATAGCCCAGCACTTTGGGGGTATCGGCTGTTTTCCACACTGTTGATCAGCAAGGCAATTAATGGCTCTGGGCCGGCTACCAGGAATCATCCACCTCAGCTCTCCAAGCGGCTACAAGACACTGTGCAACAGAGGAAGCTGCCTGGATGTGGCAGAGGGAGCTCGACCCTGGCATGCAATCCACCGCAGGGGAGAGGAAGAGGAGGCTCACAAAACTTACCTCTCTCTGCAAAATGCAGCGTCCCAGGGGAAGGGGGGCCTGGAGTTTCTCTACCGTGTCTGGCTGGGAACTGGAAACTGGGTCAGAGAGCAGGGAAGCAGGATGGGGGGGCAGCTGAAGGACAAAGAGACCGGCCATAAGCATGGAAAGGTTCCCCTAAATCAAACCACACAGATGCATGTAAGCTCACGCGCACACACCCAGGGTAGCGCGGGGGCTGCTTCTTCATAGTGTGATCCTGCACCGTTCAGGAGAAGACCAAGCCAACCGCACTGGCCGGATCAACCACACGGGATTTGCCTACTCCGTCAGCACTCCGGGCACCAGGGTGCTGATCACCTGACTCATGTAGATGAGCGTTTGAACACATAAAGCTGATAAACTGAGTCAAACCGTTTGTCCATCAAGGTCAGTGTTGTCTGCCCTGACTGGCAGCAGCTCTCCAGGGTCTCTAGGGTCACCCTACTACTCCCCAGTCCTTTTAGCTGTAGATGCCAAGGACTGAAGATGCCTGCGATCTTCCCGCACAGCCCCCAGGAGTGTGGACTGTGCAACGGCAGGAGATGAGTGGCGGGAGACCTACCTGGGACAGTGAGCCAGATGTCAGTTTCTGGTGGAAGAGATCACTCAGTGCCTGATTTTGCCGCTCAAGGTCAAAGACCCGCTTTTTCAGCTTGATGCATTCCTCACGGAGGTCCTGAGAACACAGCAGGGGGTCAGCGGGTTGAGTTGTGCATGTCAGTGAGTGGGGTCACTTCACCAGGCCACCGCCCCCCCCCATCTTTACATACACTCCCACTGAGACAACAGGGGGCGCTTAGTGTCTGTCTGGTGCATACTATCAAAATCCTGCATCCAAGTCGCATAAAATGTTGCTCTGAGAAAATCTCAGTTCAGCTACTTTGCATCCGTAGTGCAAGTTAAGCCAGTGTTATGAACTGGGTTTTCCCTGCATTCCTTGTTAGGCTTCTTCTGCTGGGCAGAACAGGGAGCTATTCATCTCCACCACAAATCCAAATGTTTAAGAGCACCACGTGGGAACTGACCACAAGCTTTAAAAATGCTCTCGGGTAGCTAAAAATGTGTGGCCTGAGTTACCGAGAACAGGTTCAAATCTCACCCAGCCACAAGCTTACAAAGTGCCTTTAATAAGCTACCATAGGGTTGCCACACACCCCACTTGGGGGGGCGGGAACCCTCACTTTTGGGGGGTACTTTCCCACCGGCAGCCAGCTAGCTTGGGGGGGGGGATCCTGCTCCCAACTGGCCTGAAAGGCGACATAATAGCATCACTCGGAAGTGACATCATCGCATCACTGACGTCATGCAGTGACACTCTAGTTTTTGGGCAAAACTCTATGATAAAATCGGCTATAAACCATAGTTTTGCCCCAAACCTAGAGTGCCGCCTAGTATAATGTACATGAAGCCCATTAAATACTCTGTAGTGCTGTCTAAACATAAAGAGTATTCTTTCATAGGAAAAATGGCCTGAGGGGAATCACACCTCCTCTAACATTTTAAGTGATGGTTGAGCAGTTAAGGCATCGGACCTAAAGTTCAACAGGCTTCCCCTGCAGAGGTTCAAACCCTGATGCAACTGACAAGCTTATTTTTTTAACTTTATTTTTTAAATTTTGGTTTAGTAGTCTATTTTATGTATTTCATGTATACTGTAAGCTGCCTTGAGCTCCATAAGAAGAAAGGTAGCTAATAAATGTTTTAAATACATAAATAAAATTTCTGGCACCCAATATGGTATTAGATTATGACTGCAGAGACCTGAGTTCAAATTCCTACTCGGCCATGTGGGGCCAGGTCCCCTCTTTCTCAGTCTTACAAGGGCTGCTAAGAGTGGCAGAGAGGGGGGGCACAAATTCCAGAGGCCCCAGAAGCCAGTGTCATGCTGCAGTCACCAAGCACATTTTTTTAAACTAATGCAATTCTGCACTGCAGCCTCTAGGGGCGCAGAGAAGGCAGTGCACAGTAAAGAGGAGTTATTCTGACTCTGTGGCCCAGGCCTTTCTGCAACCTCTACTAGGAGCCCAAGGCCCTTGCTTCTCAGATCCTGCTAAACCCATCAGACAAGATAAGACCAGCCAGGACAAGCTACAGTCCTTCCCACGACACAGCCTCTTTAATAAAGTTGTTGTCTTCAGCGGTCTATGGTTCTCCTCTTCCTTTAAATCCACCCAGCTCCACAGTTTTGTTTGCACAGCCAGATCTTGCAAAGGGACAGCCCTGTTAGTGTGTGGTACCAAATTTAAAAAAACCCAAAAGCGTCATTGTATATTTCCTTGTTTCCTCTTCCTCTTTCCCACATTTTTCTCCTCCTTTGTTTTGCTCTCTTCATTTCATAACCTGCCATTCCTCTATCCCTTTTCCTAATTTTTCTCTCTCCCCTCCCACCCTTATTTTTCAGTCTTGGTCTCAACTCCTTCTCATCCATCCTGGTTAGCAACTTAAAATGTGTTTATATGGGTGCATGGTAACAGCCAACCAAATGATTTGTTGTGTTATGATACTTGGTTTGGATCAGGATTTTTATGGGGGGCCCATGGCGGCTCTCAGCCAGTCCTGAGTCTGACCCTAGCTCTGAGTATTATTACAAGGGTAAAATTGGGAAACGGTCATGTATCCCACCCACCCCGAGCTCCTTGGAGGAGAGGTGTGATAAAAATTAGGATAGCTATTTCCCAGCATGTAGTGTGAAGGGCCACAATCCAGCCTTCTTGCTGAAGCTAAACGTGTCTGGGTTTGGTCAGTGCATGGATCGGAGACCTCCTGGGAACATGATGGACAAAGTCTTGAGCTCCATGAAGGACAAAAGCTGAAATATGCATTTAACATATAAATACACATCACCCTTCCCCCTTTCAACACTGGACAAAGAGAATAACAGCTAAATTGCAAGCCTACCACTAAGCAGTGCATAGGGAAAAGGAGAATCTGTAAAAATGTCACTGGAAAGTGTGACGACAGATAGCAGATAATCTTATTTATTTTGGTTTGGTGTTTTTGTATTTTTCATGTGTGCACCTGGAAGTCATGGCGACCTCTGGTGACTGACCCCTACTGGGGGCCTGAAGGATATTCAGAGAGGTGGCTGAATAAAGTCTGCCCCTGCCTCCTGCCTCTGGTATTCCAAGGAGGTCTCCCATCCCGGTACTTGCCAGAGTCGACCCTGCTTAGCTTCCCAGGTCTGATGAGGTTGGGCTTGCCTGGGCTTTCCAGGTCAGGGTGACAGATAGCAGATAATCTGAGCTGCTTCCACACGGGGATTTTTCCCTGAATGGACATCAGGAACCAACTCACACACACACACACCCCGTAAAGGGGAATGTCCAGACAAGATCATGCCCCATTTGGGCACAACTCATCTGGCAACCCGTTTTTCTCCTTGTCTCCAAAGTAAAGGGGAAACTACAGAGTGACTGCAGGTGGAACAGCCATTTGGAGACTTCCACGTCACTTCCATGGGAGAGGGGGAGGGCTAAGCTCCACATTACCTTAGGCTCCACATTTCAGACTCCTAAAGGGATTGTTTTATTTCTTTACTGAGCCACACAGTCACAATGCAGCACAACTGGGAGGGTTGCGGGCTGTGGGCTTCTGCACAACGTGCAGTTAGGGAAGGAGGGAATGGGGGGGGGGCAGACCCTACAGCATGGGAAAGGGACATGCAGATGACATTCCCACCCATTCCCTCACTGCTTGCTGGTGTGGCAGGGGGGCATTTTTGCATTCCTAATTGGAAGCAGCCCTGGGATAAAAAAAAACTTGTCTGAAAAGAATAGCAGACACACCATTTTCGATGAGGATGTCCTTCTAAAGGAGTCAGTGCTGACTGGTGCAGAGATTGGACACAGGGGAATTTTCAGCCAGGAGCCTCTCCCTTTCTCTTGCTCAGTCAAAGGACCCCTGGGAGCGAGGGAGGGGAGCCCATGTGCACACAGCTTATCCAGGAGAGCAACTCACCTTTTGGTTTAACAGCGCCTGCACCACATGATTGGCTACCTGCAGAACAACAGAAGTCAGTGTGAGTCAGATCTCTCCAGGACCCAACGGAAGGCTTCTGCCCCCAGAGGAGAGCCAAGGAGGGGGAGGCAATACCTCATCCAAGCAACGTTCATAGGTCTCCCGCTGGTTCTCGTTGGCTTGTGCCAAAACTGAATTCTCCGTCTGCAAACACAGAATAGAGTCAGAGAGAACAAGAGGAAAAGGATCCAAGTATCTTCTTCTGGAAGTGCCTGGGGACTGCTGGGAGTAAGGCTTCCCTTCCCTACCCCGTTCAGATCCCTTGCCATTCAGGGAAGCTTTTTCACTAAAGCATAAGTCACCATCAAGACCAGTGTTCCCTCTAAGCTGAGTTGGTGTGAGCTAGCTCACAGTTTTTTAGCCTCCGGCTCACACATTTTTGTCTCCGCTCAGGAAGGGGGGCTCCAGAGCAAACTAATTTATGCAGTAGCCAAATCGCTGGCTCACAGCTTTAATGCCAGCAGCTCACAAAGTACAATTTTTGCTCACAGGACTCCACAGATTAGAGGGAACATTGATCAAGACTCTTCCTAGACAAATCAAGGGCAACACCCTCAGTGGGTCGGCAGCCTTAAGAAACAAGGCCAAGTCTGTTCTCTTGGTCCACTACTCCCTTGTGGACACACCTGGACCCCCAAAAGCCCAAGATGCCAGCCAGCCAGCCAACCAGGGAGGAGATACAAGAGAGATCCGCATGGCTTGGCTTGCTGGCTGGAGTCATCTGAAGTGGCATGCTCTGCAGACCATATTCCCTCCGCGTGGCACATGGTGGGTTGGATTCTATTTGGGGCTGGACATCAGGCAACCCTGTGTAACTGCAAGAGGCTGGAGTGGCAGGTTTGGATCAGACTGTGGGGCCAGCCCAGGCAAGAAACCAGCCCCCTCTCTCAGGAGAGTATGTGCCACTTAACGTCACTTCATCTTAATCTACCTTTCCAAGCACCAGAAGCCCGGAGAAGCCTCTGACACATTGTGGACATAGAGCAGCTGCCCATCTTGCCAAGTGCTGGTGCCAGCCATATGAAATAGATGCCAGCTTGGTCCCTATAATCCCCCCCCCAAAAAAAAACCTTGAGCAAACGTCTGTGAATGAGGGACAGAAAGTCAATGAGTGCAGTTTCTCCCCCTGCCCGATTCACTGCATCTCTGTGTGTAGAAGAGCTTCTTCCATTGAGTTTCTGTGAAATTGTAAGGCCAGGTGCCTAGGCACTCTGCGGGTCCAACTTTCAAGCTGTCCCGGAGAGGACCGAACTTCCAGAGCAAGATGGCCAAGACAAGCCCCCTACCTCCAGCTCCCGGAGTCGCTGCAGCAGCTCCTGGGTGGTCAGTGGCTCGCTGCTGTCCCCCCCGTCTGGCTTCATCTCACCCTGTAGCTTGGTCTCAGACATCATTTCCTTCGGGGTAAAAAGAACAGAGAGGAAAAGCAGGCTGAGATGACCCCAGTTGTTAAGACTGGCCAGCCTCCAGGTGGTGGCTGGCTGGAGATCCCCTGGGATTACAACTGATCTTCAGGTGACCCCGGCAGGGCTCTTTTCGTAGCAGGAGCTCCTTTGCATATTAGGCGACACACCCCTAATGTAGCCAATCCTCCAAGAGCTTACAGAGCTCTTCTTACAGGGGCTACTGTAAGCTCTTGCAGGATTGGCTACATTAGGGGTGTGTCGCCTAATATGCAAAGGAGCTCCTGCTACGAAAAGAGCCGTGAAGAGACCACCTGGAGAAAACAGCTGCTTTGGAAAGGGGGACTCTAGGGCATCATACCTCATCAAAGTCCCTCTCCTCCTCATACCCCGCCTTCCTCAGGCTCCAGACCCCCAAATCTCCAGGTATTTCCCAACCCAAAGCTGGCAACCCTACCAATCATCCTGCTCACTGCTACCACATGAACCCCTGCAAAGGCCAAGAAAGGGGCCGTGGGGTAGAATTCAAGCCCGCGGCTATGCTGGTTACATTGACAGGACACTCAGCAGTAACGGCAGGGTCATCTCTGTTATCTAAACCTCAAATGAAAAAACAACGGTGGCCAGAGTGTACGTTCCTTTTTAAAAAGCCGCTCTCTTCAACTGTCTAAGGTGCACTGAACAACATTTTCAAGTGACCTGTGCTGAACTAAGAGCCACTGAGAAAGGGCCAGGGCTCAGCAGTGAGCTCAAAGGGACTGCGGGGGAAAGAAACAGGATCCTGTAGGCCACCCTGAGCTTCTCGGAGGATAGCAAGGTGGATGCAGGCCCATCCCGAGCATCTCTCCTTGTCCTCCTGTTAGAGCGGCTTCTGCCTGGCGAGCTCCCTGCCCAAAACTTCAGAGAGCTGCCGTGAAACATGCAAGGCAGGACTGGGCCAGGGGGACCCAGAGTCTGACTCATTATCAGGCAGCTACATCCGCTCACATCCTTGGCACTGCAAACAGCTGCCACTCGCCTCCCCATCCCCATCCCCACACTGACGCTCACAGCCCTGCCCGGCACTCCGCTCTAATCCAGATCTTCCACCAGCCACTCTTCCTCACAAAGAGCAAGCCCAGACAAAGGTGGCCTCTTTGAGCCGCACAGCTAGCAGACCCATTCAAATGCATGCTCAACTCAGCCCCCCTGTCTCAGCACCTCAAGGATCCACTTGCCTAAAAACACTCTTCCGAGAAACATCAGCCTAAAGGCATCATGACGAGCAGAAGGCGATGCAATGAGGTACAGGGAGCAGCCTGCCAATGCCAGTCGGAGGATCTGATCAGAGGGCACAATCCACCAGCCGGGAGCAGCACTCTGGCATCACTCCTGTTGGCTCCAAGGACACATGAAGGCAAAAGGAGAGGGAGGCCTGCCCTCTATGCCCTGCTTGTTGGACTACACCAGAAGCCGCTTGGCCCCTGGGTAAAACTGGGTGCTGGACAAGATGGACCACTGGTCTGATCCAGCAAGGCACTTTTTCTGCTCTTCTGCTTGCGCAAGAAACTGCCTAGAGAGAGGGTGGTGATGTCTGGGTTCTCTTGCCTTGGCTTCGCCCTGGCTCTGCCTTTCCCTTACCTTTCCCCAAGGCTCCTGGAGCAGTCACGATGACCGGCCAGTTCGCCAAGCCTTCCTTAGTCGTGCCTACCTGAAACAGAAGAAAAACCAAAACGATTTCTTTAAATGCCATCTTCATTGACTGCCAGGATGCCCGGCTGTGAATTGCAGCCTTATAGAGGTTCATCAGGCATTCCGGATGGGAAGCACAAGGTGAAGAAAACAGCAGACAAATATTTATACCTCAGATTCATCCCTGGTGTGATTCCCTTCTTCTACTACTGAGCAATCACCAAGCAGCAGCCAGGGTTTCTGAGCTCTGTGCTACTGTAGGACTCCTGTGCCTCTTCCCTGAGGTGTCTGGGTACACAAATCCAAACACCAGCCTCTCTGCTTATGAAACCCCACACCCCCACACCCCGGAGGCCAGCCACCCAGTCCACTAGCCACGTCGTCTCAGGATTACCACAGAGAACTTTTAAAAAACGATTTGCTGAGTTCATGGAAGGTTCTATTGACAATCAAGGAAACAGCCAAGAATGGAGACCCCATGTTCAGGAGCAGCATGCCTGATTTCCAAGACACAGGAGACAAACAGCAAGGGATTTTATCTCCCATTATGCACTGTTTGTGAGCTTTCTTGTGGCAACTAACTAATTATTTTCAGAAACAATGCCAAACAAGATGGACCTTTCATCTGACCCAGCATGGCAATAGCTATGTCTTTGCATACTTACATCACACTCCCAGGCCCTAAGGAAGTCTCTACAGACATTCGCAGGGGGCGAGGGGGAATCCAAAAGCCATTCCAATATTCAGTACCTGTCTAAGGTCCCAGTCAGGCCATAAAACCGATCTATTTCTCCTCATCCTGACCTTCAAGGCCCCCAACACACATCACCACACCATTTTGGAAGGCATGCAATTGACCCTTTGTTATGGGACAGCATTACGTTTTAAGCAGATCTCTATAATATATTTAAGTTCCTAGGCATCAGCACACAATATATAAAAGAGACCAGGCAATTGGGTACTTGAAATATTTCCAGTTCTGTTCTTTAATAGTTGAAACCTAGATGTATATGAACTCTATGAAGATAGCCAAGGCACTAAGAAAGAAGACTCTTGGCCTAGAGACAGAAATGCGATTGTGTAGCTACCTCTGGATCTGCAGGACAAGAACAGAATCTGGAGCTTGAGAAAGAGAGCTACACAGACAAAATATGGAAATTTGAGGCATTAGCATCCTGATTGCAGACGAACATGACAAGAAGGCACCATCCAAATAGTGAAAGGGCTTACGCTTCTGTCACATTTTATGCCACCCTTTCTCCAAGGAGATCAAGACATACGTGGCCCCACATTTTATCTTCACAACAACTCCGTAAAGTAGGTTTGGTTGAAAGACAGTGATCTGCTCAAGGTTTAGCCTTCTTGCTGAATCAATCTCAGGGGGAACTCAGTTCTTCTGGGGCTTGGGTTGAGGATGGATTTACACAACACTGACTGGGCATGCCCTGGTGTCAATCAGCTATCTACCCCCTCAACAGAGGGCTGTGAGCAGTAATGTCCTTGTGCCAATCACAAAGCCAACTTCTTCCTATCATTGAAAAGATTTTAAAAGTGCTTAAAAACACTTTGAACAGTGACAAGTCAATACTTGAATAGGGAAACATCCCAGACACCTAACAGGCAGGGTGCAAACAGAGGCAATCAGCAACTGATTCACAGAACACGTGTCTTTTCTAGAACAAAGGCCAGAGGAGGGGGGAGAACCCTACATTAATTTTTTAAAAGTACCCTCTATACACAGGTACATCTTTACACCCTAAGCTTAAGGCTTCCACTAGAGTCTATCAAGTACTGATTTCCTTCCACCCATGAATTTAACTTGAAGTATCTAGTGCTATATGTCTGTAACTGGACATGCTCTTAACTTTGCAGCAGACCTTGAAGGGCTTACACTTCCTACTGTGATCCAGCAACCCAAAGCAGGGCTGTTCCATACAGCAGAGTAGAAATGGTGAAAAGGGCAAAACCCATGAGCACAAGGTATTTCCAAGCTGACTTCTAGATTCCCAAGTGCACTTTGAACATTTATGTTCTCTCTCATGGTAATGATGTCATGATCCAATCTCTGCCCAGCTTGAAGAGAGCAGTTTTTTACAACCAACAAATATCTCTTTACGGCCACCAACGGCTGAACACATTAATCTCTGGAGGAAACTGCAGGTGATCAAGTTATATGAATAAATGTGAGATCTCTTCGTTTGAGAAAAACATCTAAAATATCAGTCTGAAGAAAGGATCCTAACAGGTCCTTCACCGACAGTACGAACCCAGCTTTGTAACTTGTCCTGTACATGTAAGTGGAACAGCAGATCAGCTCTTTTGGACCCTTCCTTCAGCCTTCAGATAAGTGTCCTTTTAAAAACATTTTAAAGTGGTGTACGCACTGTCTTCATCCTTCACCTTACCCCTCCTCTGGCCTGCAGCAGTCACAAACATTTTTAAACTATAGAAATGATCATGGAGATAGGAGCATACTGATCGCTCTGACTAGCCAGTAGGCACCCCTTCACAGCCAGTTTCCCCCCTTCCTAACCTGCTGGAAGCTTGCAGACTATTAATACCCAGGCCCCAGAAAAGCTTGCTCCATGGCATCAGAACTTGTGTGCATTTTCAGGGCAGCTGAGATACTTTCAAACAACCTCTCTACCACACTGTCTTTACCAGTACAAAATACGGCCAGAGAGAATCACTCAGTGTTTTCTTGCTGTAACTGGTTTTGCTTTTCTAAGTATTCTGTGATCCAGCAATAATCTGACCCTTTGCTGTGTTTCAGTACCAAGAACTTAAAAGCCAATAGTTCTAAACCAACTAACCAAAAAATCATTTGGAACATGTATGTGTTTGTTTCCCCATTTGTTTTTACCCTCTCCTCCCTTCCAGGGAATATGGAATAGCTTCCCAGAGCTCACTGCAGTCAGAAAGGAATACTCAGAAGTAATCTCTTTACAAAAACCGGAAGCTTGTGATAGTGCAAGGTTCAATAAATACTTCCACTTTAAAAATAGTGTGAGCATTCCTTTTGTATCCAATTATCTTACAGAACAATCTGAACTTAGGTTACAATCCTAGTTTGGTGGAGAAGAAAGGCACAATAGGTTTGAACAGATGGTTAGGAAGAAAAGTTTCTGCAGCACGCGTGAAACTGCCTTATAGTGAATCAGACTGGCTGCGGCTCTCCAGGGTCTCAGGCAGAGGTAATTCATATCACCTACCATCTGATCCTTTTAACTGGAGATGTGGGGCGGTATGATGGGTAAAGCAGACAAGGAAACTAGGAACTAACCCATATACCCTCTTACCTAACAGCCTTTACCGCCACCCTGATCCTAGATGCATGAGCAGTACCAGTGATTACTCAGTGATGAAGGAAAGGCACTCTGTGCATGCCTGGATTACTAGTATCAGTTCCCCAGACTGAACCCCAGCTCAAAATTAAGCTCTAAATAGTCAGACCATCCAAGTTTTGGGAAGTGAATTGGAATGAGTTATTGCAGAGAGGATGATGCTGTCTTATTCCCATGGCCTTCCCCTGGTTGTCTTTCAAAACCCACTCCTTTTGCATCTCTGGTTTCCTCAGCGCCACATAAAGAGGGTCTTAATTAAATCTGGCAGTTGGGATGTTTGGGTCAACGGTTGATTTGAGATGCTCCAATAAGCAGCATGAAGGATTCTCCTCTGGAAGGGAAGGCTGTGTTCTTCCTAAGAAAGGGTGCTCCCTATTTCCCCTCTGCCCAGCCCCCCCACCCCGACCCCAACCATCTCTTAGATGAGTTCCTAGCAGCCCTTGCAACCGCTACCCATGCCTGTCAAGCAGATCCCTTCTTAATCAGCTTTAACGCTGGCAACCCTGCTGCATGCCCGCCAACATTCCTGTGTACATACCAGCCGTGCCAAGGTCTAGCACGATCCTTTAGGCTAGTTAGCAGCCAAGGGTATTCAGCCAACTCCAAACCAGCATGCTGAGAAGACCGCGTTTCCTTGGCTGCATTCCTGGGGGGGGGGGGTTGCTGCTGGGTAGTGCCAACGTCTACATGCTAAGCACAAAGAGACTAACCACAGCTCGGTGAACCGCAGGGAATGCAGAGACATCCAGGATGGGCTGTTAGGTCTGAGCCCCGCTTAAGTGTGAAAAGCAGCTTCAGTAGATAACACACTGCCCAGGAAGCAAAGGATTCGTAGACCCTCCTGCCTCCCCATTCTGCAGCAACCCTGCTCCAGATCACTCTTCTCCACACATCCTACCGGGGGGGGGGGGGGTGTTTTCCAAAACATAAACATAAAAGCAAAGCAGCCTGCTAACGTGCCACACTCCATTAGCCCCAAAGCCTATTCGGGTAATGCTGTCCAAGCACATCATTCTCCTCTGGTTGCCTCTTCTAAACCATGCTGATAATGCCGGTGCTCTAACCCATTCATAGGGGGCTTTCTCCCCACACGCACACACCCCTGCTACCATATCCAAACTGACTGGAAAGTGTCTTTCTCACACACATCCTCTTCCACAAAGCCTCCGCACACCAGACATCACAGCCCCTGGGCTCAGAGATGTAGCAAGCTTCCAGATCTCAAGGGCTACACAGAGCAGAGTCGGGGGGGGGGCATGTCACATATATTGACCCCCCCCCCCTCCCCCCCTTCTCCAGAAGCCCCCGAAACTGCAGTCAGCCCCAGAGGCTCAGAAACCCCCGACGCTCCCAGAGCTCCCCACCCTCTCAGCAGCCATTCTCCTCTAAGTCACCCCTTGTTCGCCTCTTGCACCCCTCGAAAGGACAAACGCCCAGTCCGGATCTCCCTCGCCTTACCCTCTCCGCCCCACAGCCGGCCCAAGGACACAGGTGGAGAGTGGGGCTGGACCCCGTCTCTGCGATGGAGGCCTCGGCCCCCTTTGCGCATCCTCCCGCCTTCACGGCCCGACTCGGGGCCTGCTATTGTTGGGAGGAGGAGAACGAGGCGGCGGCGGCAGCAGCAGGAGGAGGAAATTCACGAATCTGAGCT